TGCCCCCTGCGCGCGGCGGGGGGCGTCCCCCCTCGGCCTCTTACCCGTGCGCCTCTACAGCCAGGGAAAGGCGAACCCCTGCAAGGCAGCACTGCAGTTTGCCAGTAGGAGATAGTTTGCTTTTTTAAGTGCTTATTTGTCTCCCCTCCCCTTCTTCCTCCGTGCTTCATGCTCTTAAAGGCGTACTGAGTGTCCCCGCTTTTGTTTGTTCTATTTTTTGTTTAACTCACAAGAAAATAAATGCAGTTATCCTCAATACCTCTCTTTCATTTCGCAGTCTTGCATTTGGTAGCATTTAAAAGAAACATTGGCTAATCGTATTGCTGAGTCCACATGGGCAGTGATCTGTTCAGGGTTTTTTTGCCTGTACATCCTGTGCATTTTCAGCATAACAGCTGAAATATGGTCCCCTTGGGACGTAGGGGGTAAGAGCAGCACCTTTCCTAATAGTTGACCGCAGTATTTTGGCAGCACGTTGTAATATGAACTGTAAGTCATTCAGCCAGCTTTAAAGAAAAGTTAGTTTACTTAATTGCTACAGAAGGCAACACATTTCCACATGAGAGGTTGGTTGGAACTGGAATAAACCCTTCCTGGCTAGCTGAATCCACACAAGGGATGCACTATTTTTTTCCCCCCGTGACCCCCAGAGATCACATTGCTTGCTCTGCTTCTCTGCTTATCCAGTTTACAGTTACAGTGGCAAAAAAGATTTGTATCAGTGTAGTAAAGGCAGCACAGCTTTTGTGCTAGAGTGACAAAAGAACTTGTATGTGTTTCTGGAGCAGAAGTTTTTTCTTGGTTAAAGAAATGTAACTTCTGAACAGAAATTCCATAAGTTCTCTCAGGCTGTTTCAGTAGTTGGACAAAAGCATTGTTTTAGACTTGTTATCCAGCTTGAAATAAAACATGACTTCAACCTTTGTTTAGTTGGTCACAGTTAAGGTTTTCTAACATACGTTTTTTCCTGGCATAGAGGAATTCTTTCCTGACTTCTTTTTTTTTTGAGGGCTTCTGCTTCTCTAGGGTTGTAAAAGCTAATTAATTATGATGCAGAGTTGATCTTCCTTTTCTTGTGAGAAAATAGTTGGTGTAAAATGAGAATGGTTAATACACCGGGCTGGATCTAACTAATCCAGCAGCATCAGATAACTGCTACAGTCCTATTTGCCATCGTAAATTTGCATGCGATTTTTGCATATTAAAGTTTATTTGAGATAACAGATGATATCTTTGATTTATTTTTTTTATAGCTCTTTCAAGGATTTCCTGAATCTGAAGCAGTTACTTTTCTGTTATCCTCAGTAAAAATATGAATAAGTGTTCTTATCGGCTTAATTTTAATACGACAGGCAAACAATTAAACTCTCATAAAACCTGTGCAACCTTGAAAATGTCAGCTCAGAACTCCCAGTTTAGGCTTGTCTAGGTTATTAGTGTCAGTGAAAGCTCTGGGGGTGAAGGCTTGGATAGAAGGGCTCCTGCTATAAACTGGACTGGGTACTTCTGAGCATTCTAAGATATGGCTCTTTTTTATATTAATATATCTTATAAATTGAATTAACTAAAATCTTACAGCTGTGTGGGTGTATAAAACGTTAAAAGCTTCAGTGATTCTGCAAAAGTGAGCTGTTATGAACCTGCAAAACTTAGTGCCAAGCAGTGCCTAGGTATGCCAAGCAATAAGTTATGCTATGCCCTTAACTGGTAATGCAAGTGTGATGGCAGGTCTCATACCACAGTTAATTACAGAACTGATGGTTTTTTTTTTTTTGTGACACTAAAAACAACAGCAGTGATGGAAGCTTTTTTTTTCCCCCGATGTTACTAAGTAGTAAAGCTCAAATGAAAGATCAAGACTGAACCTTAACTTCACAGTGCAATTACAAATGGTCATATAGTTTAGATACGGTGATTCTGAACCTCATTTCAGATCTCCGCGTTCAATGTTTGTACTGTCTGAGAAACATCAGGCAAATGAAAGTCAGGAGGTGACGTTATTTTGTTAGTGTAATTGGTTTATTTGGTTCAACAGTCATAGATAACAGTGGAAATCTTTCATGTATGAGATGGTTTTTGGTGTGACTCTTACAATGTGAATTAGCTGAATATAGACTTTCTTCCCCTTCTCTCTCAGGATATTTAAGTCTCACTCTGTATTCCTTAGTCGTCATGTTCTCGGGAAGTCGGAACGTGTGCTGTGCTTGTCTGCTGCGTCCTCGTGTTTGAACCGCCTTTGCCAGTTTTCAAACCAGGTTTGACAGTTCTCAAAAGCAGTAATTTCTACGGGTTTTTGTGAAAATAGGCAGCTACAGAGATGACAAGGGACCCTAGTTATACCCCTGTTGAGGCAAAATGAGCTTTTATTAGAAATCGGTTTCCAACACCTCTTCCCTAGTGAGGATTCTCTGATCTCCCTAAGTTCTGTTCCTGTTGGACCTGCTTGTTGTCTGGTGTCCTCTCCGCCTTTCTCCTGGCCTGCATAAGGTATACACATGCATAAACTAAACTGCTGTGTTGGCTGCATGTTAACAGCATCTGGTTTTTTTATTTTATTAAATAAAGTTTTCTTATTAAATTTGGATTTGAAATCTCTAGTTTTGGACTTGTGCCTTTAAATAAAGCCAGATCCTGTCTTGACTTACTGCCTCTCTCCTTCCTCTTTTTCCGTGTGATTTATGGTAATATTTCTATTGGACTCTATTCAGCGTTGAACTTCCTTACAGTTTTACTTTAACTCAGAACTGAAGTATGAAAACTTTAAGCCCGAAGCTCTTTGTTAGTTTGCAGGAAGACGGCCCTTGGCGTCCCTCATCTCTCGTAAGGCGAAGGCATGTGCGTGGCCTGACACAGGCAGGCGTGCCTTGGGACGGGACGTGAATCCCTCCTGTGATAGGGCAGCCTGCCGTGGATCAGGGGGTGGGTGCTTGTTTGGGCATACGTTGGGGAAGTGTTGCAAGGCTGTCTCTGGGACAGCGAGCGGCATCCGGTGTAGTAGCAGGAGAAAATGATTACAGCCTGTAGTTTACTCCAAGCCCACCTCTGAGAGACCCTGGGAAAGGGAGCAGCAAGTTATTAGGCCACTAGTTGTGTGAGGGTTTTTCTCTGGTAAGACACATTCCCTGTAAGTAGATCTGCATTGCTCAAGCAATGCAGTGCTTTTACTGGATTTTAGCCCAAATGCCCTTAGCATCATCTGATGAAAAACCTGAGCTATGATTAGGCACTGGCTTTTGTGTTTTGGAAGGTGAAAATGAACTTCCAGCAAAACTCTGGCTATGATATGCTACTTGAAGCCTTAACCAGCCATCTTTCAGATCCGTGTAATTGATTGGAAAGTAATTCTGCTAATACTAATACAGCTATCTGTAAAAGATTTTTCTCAGCTCATTGTGCAAAGAGTAGAGGTGCCACTATATGGAAGCTGCCAGCCAGCTGTGGTGGAGTTTAGCGCTGACCTTTGGATTAACTGTGATGCCGAGGTTTGTCAGGTTCATTCTTGTGATAAAGGGATGTATGTTAATGTACTGTTGTTGCTGAGCAGAGCTGCAGAAGGTGCACCTTCAAGTGAGATGCAGACCTGCTTGTACCTTCTTAGGCAGTGTTTATCAAAGTCAAAGCAAACATAATTTTGCACTCTTTTTGTTTTCATATGTATATCCCTTCTCACAGCCTTTGCTTGGAACCAGCTACATATAACTGCTCAAAGCAGTGCTGTTTCTTCAGGATAGGGACTGGAAACAAGATTTATTTACTAGCTACAGATATAAACACTTGGTCATTGGCCTAGTTGAACTGATGCCAACAATAGCTTGTTTTTATTCTTAGCTTTATTATTATAAAATGTAAAAGCTACATTTACAAAGCTGTACAGTTTATTCCTTATACAGGTTCTTAAGGGTGGTCTCCAGCCTGGGAAGTGCTAGGTTATGATGTGTGAGTATCACTGCTCACACAGTATACCTGAAGGAGATTGCTTGCATCCAACTGGTGTCTTGCCAGTAGACACCAGTAGAAGTAGACAATAATAGACACCAAGCGGAGAAGACTGTAGAACTTTGTCCCTGCCTGTTAGGAGCTACGGAGTACTCTAATTTAAGGCTTTTAAGACAATTCTGTAAGGAATAGCGTTTGCCACAAGGTGGAATCCGGAAAGAACACAGATATTGGTCTTTATTGCAAGAACTTAGGATAATTTAGAAATTGTTAGATGAAAATGTGCAGATTTGCTCTAAAAGTGAACCTTCCCTTCCACTGGAAGGGAAAAATACTCTAGCGATCTTCCGTCTGACCTGGGCGTTTGAAGGGGAGTTCCTTAAGTTTTCTGTCAACAAGTCTATTCTGCTCTAATGTTGGTCCTTACCCAAGACTAAAAAGTCAGTAAAGCTTCTCGTCAGCCACTTGGTTACCGTTTTGAGAAAATAAGTTAAGTAACCAACTCTAACCTGGATTTAGGCTTTTGAGTGATTTGGCACTTTTTTCCTCTTATCTCTTTTTATTTAGGTAGAACAAACTTTATAGTTCCACATTTTTTAGTCAGTGTAAGCTTTGGAAGTTCTCCAAGACAATTGTCTTTGAGATCTGTTGTCTCACAGAAACCGAGCAAGAAAATTCAAAGGCAGCCTTTGCTGTGTGTTCACTGGGAAGAACCTGCCCCAGCGTGGTGATACTTTCTGTCCAGAACGACCTGTGCTTAATTTTTATGTAATTATCTGATATATCAAAATGCCGCGGTGCGCTGCAGGCGGTGTCAACTTTCCTTAGTAACCTGAGCAGCAGTAGTGGCAGCCTCTTCTCTTTGAGCTGTGTTGAGGACAGTGTTACCTGGTCCAAATGCAACCTCTCTGTTGCATCACACTGCGACGTCAATTCTGACGTTCCATGCTTAAAACGTTAGGTGATCGTAAGCATAAAAATGTTTTTTGAGGTAGTATTGCCAAAGTAAAACCCTTCTCGGTTTTTCTTTCTCCCGATCTAAATTGACAAAGAAACAGTGCAAGTTATAGGTCAAGAAAAACAGCCTCCAGAGTAAGTAATTTCATTACAAGTACTCCCCCTGCCCCGACACGTGCCCTCTGGTGTCTTGCAGCAAGGTTGAGTTCGTGTTCTTCCGTGAAGAGCCTTCAAGGGCAGTACCTCAACTGTTTTCAGTTTCTCTTTAAGAAACGAGAAATTTGTCCATGCCTTTTCTAGCTGTCTTTCAGATTTAGCTGAAGTTGGCCAACCAATTCAAAAATGATGGGGGTCAAAGAGCACAATCACTTGAACTCTGTTTAAAGGGAACCTGATGGAAATAGCCTCAGAAACGAGATTGATGAGCAATCTGTTTGAGTGCTGTATTCAGAAGATGTTTTAAATTTTTTTTAGCAGACGCACTTGTTCTGAGTTTCTCCTTTTTGCCCTCACCAGGTGGTAATTTCAAGTGAATGTTCAGAGTGTGAGGCAATGTGATAGGGAAAAACATTTATTTCTGCTCACTTTGGATTGTCTTCCTTTGCTTGAGACAAAGGCACATGCTTTTAATTATCGTATTGGGTGCTAGGCATTATATGAAACTACAAAACGTAAAAAGCAGGAGCGGCTGTATTGGTGAACATAATATGTTGCTTCTTGTTAGCAGAATTCTCTGCCTTAATTGGCTCTTCTTTTGTTTGGCCTAATTTGGACCAGGTTGGTGTTTTTGCGGGGAGTCGTGTTTCGGTGGCTGCTTTGGAGGGATGTGCTATGTTAATGCATAGGCAACGTTGCTTGTACTGAGCTTTATAAACTTGAATGTTTCTTTATTTGAAAGTTTCTCTGTGACTCTTTGTCTTTTTAATCATAAATTAGTGTGTTTGTACATTAATCATAATGTATTTGTACCCTTAACAAGCTTTGCAGTTGTTAGTAATTTAAAGAGATTTGCCTTAAGCTCCCTGTTCTGCAAGGTGTTACCGTAAGATGCTTGTGTCAATAATGTTCACAGCTGGAGAACGCTGGAGGAGAGCTCAAGGATGGCCAGCATCACTACGAGGGAGCTGTAGTAATACTCGACGCTGGAGCGCAGTACGGAAAAGTCATAGATCGTCGAGTGCGCGAACTGTTTGTTCAGTCCGAGATCTTCCCTTTAGAAACGCCAGCCTTTGCGATCAGAGAGCAAGGGTTTCGGTAGGTTATTTTGTGTGTATGTGCGTATATATATGTGTGTGTATCTGTATGTTTTGGGGTTTTTTCCTTATTTCAGCATAACAGTATCTGTGGATGCCAGTAATTGTGCTAAGTTTTTTATGTGCGGTATTTTTACTATAACGATGCTAACTGTATCTTCAGCATGTTCACAGAAATACTTGAGTGTTGCTGGGGAAACTGTTGGCAACAAAATTTAATTTGTATATTTGCTTCTTACCTTAGTGTGATTGTAATCATTTTCTTTTGTAAATATAATTTTAAGAGGTCGCTTTTTAAATATGCGTCTAGAAAAATTTAGGTGATCGCACTGCTTAAGCTGTTACATAAGATAGTTCATCTGGAAACAAGTTTAGTGAAATTTTTTTAAAAGGGTTTTTTTTTTTTAATTTATCTCCAGGAAAATTAAATGCTTTAAGTGATTTTATTAATTTGCATACCAGAGACATTATAATATATTATGCTGACCTGTTTCTGGGAAGCAAGCTTAAAAAAAAAAAAAACCCACCACCACCACCCACCCAAACTGAAACTGCTGTGCATTATTTGCAGCAAGAAAAGGTCTTCTAGTTATTTAGGTTTTTTGTTTTTTTTTCCCCTATTGTTTTATTAGGCTTACCAAGACATATCTCTGTGTTGAGGAAATAAATGCCCTGAAGTCTACAAAGCATCATAGACCTTGCTTGTCAGTTCAGTACAACTCTAGCAATACGCTGCATTTGTGCTCCTTGCTTCCATGTCAGACAACAGCTAGTACAATGTTTTTTTTGTAGAATTGTGTTTTTGTAATCGCTGATTACTAGTAAACCAGGAAATGTTATCATTTAATGAGTCAAACAGGAACTTACTGAGCTCTTCTGAAAACAGATGACGTAGAAAACCCAGGAATTCGTGAATCTCAGGTAGCTGTTGTATGAAGAATTTCCCTTTCAGAAATGTTCTGAAAAACAACTTTCTTGTGGTAGGTCTTGTTCATAGCTCTCCCACAATCAGATCTTTGAAAAGTGGGCGTATTACTGCTTAAGAAGAATTCCTACATCTACTGTTTGTTGGTTTTGATATGTGGAGCATAGCGCTAATGACACGGGGTCTCAGACCTGCAGTGTATCAATGTAGGTTTGTAGTGGGAAGTTTTTTTCTTTCGATTCAGAGTTGAAGGTTTCTTCAGAAGTTCTTGATTAGAACTGTTGGATTTGTCATTCAAATAACTGCTCTCTAAAATGTGGCAAAACACTTTCATTCAAATGGTCATTTTTCAAGGCTAAGATAGTGATTGCAGCTTATCGGTTATCCAGACTGGTCAATAAGTTTTGTAACCATAGTCTCAATCAGTCATTTGCATCTGGGAAAGATCAACGAATATTGAAACTAGACATCTGGTGCCCTTATTTAGTGACCTTTGTAAAAATGAGTTAATGGTTTTACTGCAACATCTTGCATGTTCCATATGTCATGAGAGTAGTCTGGTTTCCGTGTTCCAACTCTTGGCATCTAGGATAAAATATGAACAGGCCTAGAAGCTGCACTGTGGTCTGCGCTAAGGTGTAAAATACACAGAAAGATGAAAAATCTTGCTAAACTGTATTTACATGTGTTTTTAAAAAGCCAACTGCTCAATTTCTACAGGCACACAACACTCTCTGGTGACAAGTTTCATCTGTATTTGGTATAAGTGTTAGCAATTTCCACAAAGCACGTGATTTTGAGCAGAGGAGATTCTTTGGTTGTGGGGTCAGATGGTGTTCCTCTATGAATTCTGACACAATTCTGAACTTTGGCACGAATCCTGAGGTTTGTGTATGAATGAATGTACTTTAGGGTAGGTGTTTTCACATGGTTCCTGATATGCACTTAAGCTGTTATAAACAGGCTTTCCAAAGTTGGTTTAGACAGTTCTGAAAGTGGTTTAAGCTAAACCAGAAAAAAGCATATTCATATTGAAGCAAGAATGTATGCAAGAAGCTATATGGTGTTGCAATAAAGCTTTCAGGATCTGCATCCCATACTACTGTAATTTCTCAGTGGACAGTTGAAAAGATGCAGGTTATAGCTTGGGCAGTTGTTTTTTCCCCCTCCCCCCTCCCCCCCCATTTCTTTTCTGTAGTACTCAGGTATTTTGGATAACCTTTGTGTATTCTGTGAAATGTTAAATAGTACAGAAAAAGCAGAATTTAAGCCCTCCTTCTTTTATAGGACACTCTCTAATTACTTTGACTTCTGCAGCCTGAAAGTTTTTATAAGATGTGGCTTAATTTCCTTTATTTAAATAATGTGCTGTACATACGGCACTTACTCCATATACAGAAGCATTTGCCTATTAGAAGCAATAGTAACTGCAGACTCTTTCTAGCACCTTCTGTGTTTAGGACATTCATCCTGGGTCTCTATGGTTTTTACCAGAATTGTCCATACATGTACAACAGGTTTAATTGTTACGGTCAAGATTGGATGTAAAAAAATACACCTATGTCAATGGTATACTTATTCTGGAGTTCATCTACAGATTCAAATGTGAACAACTGCATGCTGTCTTTCGCACGCTCTAAACCACTGTGCTCTAACAGGGTATCCGAGGGGTGCTTCCATCCAGTCCTCTGCCCTTCCCCTGGTTTGAAGGGAAGGATGCTTGTACTGAGCAGCAAACGCAGCCCTAACAACCGGACTTTTTCCTTCGCCTACCACAACCCCAACCGGCACCGCTGGTGACTGCTGCTGCTACGGCTTAGGAAGGGTAGTAGTCCCTCCTAGCAGGGGCAGCCGCCTCCTGGCGCTGGTCTGTAGCAGCAGTCCCATGCCCTCTGTGGAAGGTGCAGGAGGATGAGTTGGGAGATGTGGAGGTGGGCAGGCTTGCATGGTGAGGGCAAAAACGAGATCTAACCGTATGCCAGTGAGTGCAGGTACCTTATGCGACTGCAGTTATGAGATGATTTTCTGGTCATAGTCTTGTTACGATTACGTTCTGCCAGTGTTAACGGATGTGAGCGCGTGAACTATTTCTGTTGGTTAAAAATAATAAAAAACCTTTTGTCAGTACTTGCATGTCAGGCACTTTAAGTAATGTTAGAAAAAGTTGTATTAGATCCATTTAGTCCCATTCTCCCTCCCTCCATTTTGCATTTCTCACTTGGAATAACGGATTTACTGTTCTCTGTGAAATAAACAGTACGCTAGTCCAAGGTCTGGTACGCTAATGTTCAGTCCTGGGCCTAGGCCAAAAAACATTGCTAAACTAACTGATGCTTTTGCAGTTCAGTATCTTGCAAATCATCATGGTTTGCAAATGCAGTCTCTTCCCCTTTGAAAAGATGTAATCTTCTATTATAGCATGAGGTATTAATTTCAAACCTTAAGTGCTTGCCTAAATTGGGCTTTCAAGTCACAAACGATGGCCAGTGCCGTCTCACTTTGGAATTAACATGGATTAGGGACCATCTTCTCAATAGGTCTAGAAAGTCAGGAACCTGCTTTTCAAAGCATCTCTCCTCCAGATGGTACAGCCCTCATTAAGTGTGTGTGTGTGCTCATGTCTTATATATATATAGCTTATATATATATAGCTATATAGCTAATAGTCTGCATTCTGTACCAACCATCTCACTTCTCACATAGCCAACACCTGGCTAGGAGTTTAAAATGCAGTTGCGTTTTAAGATGGCTTATATTTGACTGTGGTTAAACTGATGAAATACTTCTCTGGCAAGTTGCTGTTTTTTAACCAGTTGTAGCATAGCGAATTTAAAACACTTTTAGTAAGAGTTGAAATATGCAGAGTTATAAGTGTTATAAGTCAATATTTAAAAAAATAAAGAGTTTTTAAGGTAAACAATATATTTGAAATCATTTTTTTTAATAATCTTTTTGTCTGCAGAGCTATTATCATTTCTGGAGGACCAAACTCTGTATATGCAGAAGATGCGCCATGGTTCGACCCAGCGATATTTACAATAGGAAAACCGGTTCTTGGAATTTGCTATGGCATGCAGGTGCTGTTTAGAGATATGTTTGCTTGCAGTTGTCTTTTTAGGTCTTATTTCTTATATTAGCTGAAGTTAAACTCCTGAAGGACTTGCTTTTCAGGTATATGCAGTATGCCATCTATGTAAAGATATTTTTAAGTGCTAGTTGGTAAACAAAGTATGCTGTCTATTCTTTTTCTTAGTTCTACCATATAAACAGCATAAAAATCATTTTCTGTTTAACTACTGCTCATTTTGAATAGCGCAGTGCCTTTTTTTGTCACGCTAAATGTGTTGTGACATTCATTCACTAATTCTATCTACTTGGTATTGGAAAATGTTCCCCTCCTATAAACAAATGAACTAGTTTGTCCCTTTGTTTTTCAAGTGTAGAATGATTCTAACATAGTTCTTAAGAGCGCTTTAAAAAAGAGAAGGACAACTTTTGATTTCACTTACAATTGGCTGGTGACCCTATAGTAATATAGTAGATCAAAGCGGAGTGAAAATACAGACTTTCAGAGGAACAAAGGACAGATTAGATGGGTGATTTCTGCTTCTGAGTTTTGCTTTTTGGTGCTTTTGTTGATTTGCTTTGTTTTTCTGGGGTTAGCAATTTACTAGGCCTTCAGAGGTGCTGAATAATGGTGGAAAAACTCCTTTAGAAAGGCTGGTAATTATGGAAACAATGTTGGCACTGACTGTTTTAAAGGGGAGTGTGTTACATTAAAATGGAACTGCCTTAAACTGTCCAGCAAATCAAAAATCACACTAACTAGCTAAAGCAGGGTGGTTCCTCAAAGCTGGCTTTGCAGGAATGAATCAAATGTGTGCATTAACCAACTGCTACTTCATTATAAAAGACCGAAATCTGTCAAGCACTGTAAATATACTGTCAGATTGGATCTAGAATAATTTCTTAAATCTCTGAAACTTAAAGCAGTAGGAAGGGGAAACTCTAAAAATGTTTAATATAATAATAACTAATAACTTAATTAGTTATATTTGTAAGGAAAAATTCCTTGAGACTTTTGAAATCTAAAATGCAGATACTTCACCTTGTGGTTTGGAGTTGGGTTTTAGAAAGAAATAACCTGGCTGAGAATTGTTCTACTCTGGTTAAGCAAGGATTACGTAAGAGTCTTTGTGGTCACAGAAATAATGCTAAGGAAATAGATTAATGTTTTCAACTTGTTCTCTAGAGCTAAGTAGCCAGATTGAGAAGTTTATCTTATCTGAGGGCACTTAACTGTGGTACAGATAAATCAGGTTTCTTGCTCAGCAGCTTACCTGTTTTTGTGACAACTGGCCCTAGATACTCAGCTGATTTGCAGAGTGGCCATTTATAAGTGCAAGTACACGTACACAATTGAAAATGCATAACTTTGCAAAGCTCTACCTATTGCCTGCTCTTCCAGATTTGTTATTCATTGTCTGCAGCGGTGGTTCTCTGCTATGCTGACAGAAGGCCAGCAGAAGAGAATGAGCTTAATAATACAGAACAGTGATTAATTTTGAAGAGAACTCTTACTGTTTTGCAAAATGTTGCACTAAATGAGTATAATAATGAAAAAACTAGCCTGGTATGTATTGGAGGACAAGATCTGTTGTCGTAGCCGTTAGGTTAGAGAGATAGGGAGGCAGAGATATAAAGATTAAAGTGATAGTAAATTGCTTGGTGCTTCTTTTTCATGTAATATTTTTGTTTTGACAGATGATGAATAAGGTATTTGGAGGTACTGTGCACAAAAAAAGTGTTAGAGAAGATGGAGTGTTCAGCATTACTCTGGATAACACATGTTCACTGTTCAGGTATATAGATAATTGAAATAACCAAAACAATACTGAAAATACCATTCTGGAGTTGGGAGTTGCATGAGCAAAAGCTTATTTTAAAGAGTGAGAACAGTGAGAAAACAGTGAGATGGCACCCACAGTCATCTGACAATTTATAATAAAAACTTTACGGTTGTGTTCATGAATAGGCAAGTTGTTACATATTTAAACAACTACTTGGGCGTTATCTGCTTAATTGACTAGACATGCAGATATATTTGGAATATAGCATAAATCCTGTATTTCAAAGTAAGAAGTGTTTAGTGAGACACCATTAAATGTGCCAAAATACCTGAATCTCTGTTAAGGAAGGTCTGTAGCTCTTGCATCGTTCTGCTGTGCAGTGGGTTACTTTTGTATTGGCTACGCCTGTCCAAATCTTTGAAAGGTAAGAGATGATCTGAAACCATTAAGTCTATTGCCTACCTTTAATATTGCTTTGTGATGTTCTATAAAGCCCAAACTAGATTTTTTTTTGGCAGTTTGGCAGTGCCTCTTAAGTTCCTTGCAATAATCCTAAGTTTACTCGTACCTGGAGTTGTGGTTTAAATGACTTTTTTTCCAGTGGAGCTATTGTAGAACTTTATACGCTACCCTAAAGTACCCAGAATTGTCCTGAAGACATTTACTTGCTTAAGGAAACTCCACTTAATTGAAAGAGAAGTGTGGGCTACTATTTTTCTTTTCCCCCCACCCTAAATTTCAAAAAGAGTATACTTTAGTGCTGGGGTGTTAGAACCACCTTCTGAATCCAGATAAATTATGCATCTTGCATGACAGACCTATACTAGAAGAACTTATGCAGCTTCCAGTGAAGGAGCCTGAGTTGACGAGATGACTGTTCCTGGGAAGGAAATCCTGCATGTTTTTAAAATGGGCCTGATAGATTGGAAATGTCTTTATTGGGAACCTTGGGGCATCTGTTGGAAAAGGGTAAAGCAGTCACTTGAGTTTTGGAACACACCTTTACAAAAATATATATTCTGTGTCTTTAGCACTGGATAAGGTATTCGGAAGTAGATGAATTTTTTTCTGGTGTTGCTTTGTAAAGTGTCGTATATATTTACAGTAGGAGAACATCTATTCATCTGTTCTTAGTCTATTAAAATTTCTTTACCTGAAGATACTCATACTCCAGAGCACCTGGTTTTATTGTGGCTTGACAAACCTATTTCTTGGATTAGCACTCCCAAACCCTTTTTGTCGTTGGACTTTATTGCTGTCGTTGTCACTATGTCTCTCCCTCTCTCCAGCTGTTGGCACTGTTGGAATGGAGACTGGGCTAAAAAAGGAAACAGCTTATTAGGTTGGGCTATGTTCTACTTGCAGTAGCACATCTCACTAAAAAAATTTGCCTGCCCAATTGGGAATGAACACCTAGAACAATAGTCAGTCTAAACCAATACATAATTCAATGAGAATCACAGAAGTTCAGCAGTGCTGAGAAAATTTCGGTGTAGTTTATGTCGCTTTTATAGTGTATGATACAATATTACCTATTTAACTTTGACCATAGGTAGTTAGATTTTTTTTTTTAAATTAATTCTAGTTTTTAATTTTGTTTAGGGGCCTTCAGAAGGAAGAGCTCGTCCTCCTCACTCATGGAGATAGCGTGGATAAAGTAGCTGACGGATTCAAAGTTGTTGCACAGTCTGGGAACATTATAGCAGGTATTTATTTTATACTGAGACTGTCCCTTGATAGTATTTGTTAAAGGAAAGAAATATGGCACGTGGTGCTTACTTGGAACCAAATAAGAGCAGAATATTTCCATTATTTAAATGCAAAACAAATGGAATTGTTTTAAGCAGCCTTGTGTTCAGCACGTTATGCTGCCATGCTAACGAAGGAAGGAATGAGATTGACGTGAGAAAGCATGGCTTTATTTTAAACTAGTTGCTTAAGAAAAACTTAACTTGATTCCCCCCCACTATTTTAAAGTATGCATATGTTGTTTCTCTTAGGAACAAAATATTCCATATGTGCTTAAGACTTGGATTGCATGAGCGTTCAACTGAGCAAAAATTATAGTACTGAAAATAATGTTTCAAATATTACACATTGTTACAGAAAAAAGTAACGTAGGACCCTAGAATTCAATTTTTGAAAGCTACTAAAGTTATTAACTTCAGGGTCTTTGAGTTAGCTGGCCTTTCCTAGGAGGCAGAAGTGGAGAAGTCTTAAATTGACTCAGACACTTTGTAAGATTTTAGGCCGCTCACCTGGTTTATTTTAAATCTTTTGAAAAAAGCCTAAGATCAAGATGAGTATTTTACAGAGTGCCCTTAAACCAGACATGTAGCCAATTTGAGTAAAAACTGGCTTTTAAAAATATTTAAAGGTACTTTTATTGTTACAGAAAGATGATTTCCAAACTATTGTTAAGATTAAACAGAGCGTTTGTTATATTTTGGCTTGTCTTCAAAGGGATCTAAAACTCATGCCTATTCAGATGATTCTGTGAATTGTTTTGCTGAGTAAAGCTTGTTGTACCCAGTAGGAAAGCTCCACCAAACCTTCTGTATCTTCACCTCTGCCTTGTGTAGGAAAGGTACAATAATATTTCTGATGCCTGTCTCTAACATGTTGCTATGTCATACCCTTTGGCTCTTGCGTGAGCCTGTAGATCCTTGTGCCTTAGCAATTGAAGGAGTACTAGTAGGGTGAAAGCCAAACTTTCAGTAGTGCAATTAGTAAGACAGTGTACCTGGGAGTCTAACACGAGTCAGTAGTATTAGACAGTTTTCCTATTTATTTTTTTTAAACCACAGTTTGACACTTTAATGCAAGATTGAAAGACTGTTAGAGGGAAAAAAATATATTGTTGTAGTTATACTTGTATAGTTAGTGTGTTAAACAAGTGCAACCTTTTTAATGTGAATGCAGTGTGGCTAGTTTGCATACAAAATGAGCTTTTTTAATAGGCAATTGTCTGTGCTAGAACTTAACTAATACAATTGTTCTGAATGATAGGTATTTTAACAAAATACCAATAGTAGTACAACGTTAGGTGTTAACCTGGCTGCAGGGTTATACGAGATATGATATGGTGAGGAAAGAATGACTATAGTTACTCATTTATTGTTTTCAAAATGTTTTTCTATGGTGTCCCGAGTGTTTTTCTTGGTTCCTGAGAGTTTTTATGTCCTAGATAGGAATGAGGGTACTGTTACATCATTTAAACACCATTATCTTCAATTTTGGTTAGTGATCTGTGCTGAAAATGCAGCAAAAACAAATTATGCAGAAAAACTCACTTTGCTGTCACGTGTCACAGTTGTATTGAAAAGGCTGCCGACAAGCTGTGTATAGTGTAAACTCATTTTCAGATTAAGTATATTAAAAGGGCAGCTTCAATGTTTTCTACTTAAAAAAAAACCACCTTCAGGTACGAAGAGCATTAGTGTGAAAATTAGGATGACAAATGCAGTGTCAGATTTTCTGAACTCAGTAGCTCTGCTAATACTGTAACAAGCAAAAATCTACTAATTCTGTGATGGTATCTGTCACTTATCGAGAACAAATGAGTTGTTGATTTTGGTGTGTGACCACAGGAATGTATTCCTAGTGACGTTTCTGAAATGGTGTTTTAACCAGTTTTATTTTAGAGTGTTTCGAGGTGATACAGTTTTAAAAGCAAAACTTAGTGGATTTGAAGCAAATATGTTTCTGGGCTCTACATCAAAATCCAAACAGGTGATGTTAATTTTTCCTCTGTTGTCCTTTTTATTTCATGAAAATGCTAGTTAATGGCTAAATGGGAATAAAATTCTTGAATTGACTGCAACTGAATATGGCCCCCCATCGATCCCTGTACTGCCACAAGAGGAGTATATTATGAATCAGTAGTGATTTAGTGCTTGCAAAGAAAAAGCATCAGAAAACGGTTTTTAAAATAACCACTCTATCTTAAAAGAACAAGTAGTTAGAGTAGGTCAGCTGTGAACCAAGTGCGAGCAGTAGCTGTGCCTATGGCCAGAACGAATTACTGCTTTTCCTGCTGTGTAAATCCTGGGAAGCTGTCCTAAATACCGGCATCGCAGAGCCTTGGAATACACGCGCGTGGGAACACAAACAGGTATTGAGGCCACACTTGGTGGGCCGCTTCCCCCGTTCCCGTGGCATCCGCCCTAGTTCTGCGTAACGCCGCGCTCGAACTCGGGTCGAACGGGTGCCTGGAAGATAACGGGTCTGAAGGCCGAAGATGGCAAGTCCTTGCCGTGCAGCTTAGGAGGAGGCAGGCAGCGCTCTGGGCAGGAGGCAGCAGCTGCCCGCGTTGCCTTCCAGCTGTAACGTCCTGCGGGCCGCGTGAGCTGAGGTGGCTAGCGGCTGAGAGGCAGCGAGGAGGAGCAGGACTCTCTTCCTCTGCTCCCTTCAGAGGAGAATCAGACAAGGTAGATGAAGTCACCAGGCTGTTCACGTGCTGCTGCTTTGAGAGGATTTTGGTTGTTTCTCTAGCCTAAATGAGATAGCAGCCTAAAATGGGCAACCTGTTTTTTTTTTCGTTTGTTTGTTTTTCTCCCTGGAGAGTAGATAAGGAGCATTTTTGTGGCCAGATACGTGATAGAATTGCGTAATTTTGTAAACATGCCCTCAAGTTCGTAAGGCATGCTAAAGTTAAGTGTAAATATCTTAACTGAGTAAAAGGATTGTCTTGGATCTCTCTGGAATCTTGAATATATCTAGAACGTTATTAGGATATTGAAGGATAATTTTGGATCTATTTTTTAAAGCTTGTACTATGAATTAATCTGCCAGCTTGGAACCGAGTATACGAGATAAAAAGTTTATGCTTGGGGTTTTTTGGATATATATTTCACTTAGTTTTTCTGTAACGCTCATTTCTTTGCACCCGTGAAGGCATAGCAAATGAATCTAAAAAACTGTATGGAGCGCAATTCCATCCTGAAGTTAGCCTAACAGTGAATGGAAAAATGATCCTGAAGAATTTTCTTTATGATATTGCTGGATGCAGTGGTACTTTTACAGTGGAGAACAGAGAACTTCAGTGTATTCAAGATATTAAAGAGAAAGTGGGCTCATCGAAGGTCCTGGTAAGTAGATTGAATGGAAGCTGAAAACTTTGTTGCGAAGGTCTGATAAAAAAATTGCTGACACTTGCATTTACTTGCAGTTACTCTGGTTAATCTGAAAAGTGCAGAATTATCATGGTTTGGGTAATATAGTGAAGAGGTGGTTTTGGAAAGCTTGTATCCATTGCACAATTGGGTTGATACGTTGTTTGACTTCTCATTGTCTTCCAAGTCATTGATTATAAGTCAATAGTCTGTTTTGATCCCTTGTTATTGCATCTGAATTATAGTTAGCACTCTCTTCCCCCCCACCCCCCGCGAAGGGCTGAATAAATTGTGGGTTTTTCCTTTTTCCCCCTCATACTTAGGTTTTACTCAGTGGAGGTGTGGACTCAACAGTGTGTACTGCTCTCCTGAATCGTGCTTTAAACCGAGATCAGGTCATAGCTGTACACATAGATAATGGATTTATGCGTAAAAGGGAAAGTCAGTCTGTGGAAGAAGCACTCAAAAAACTTGGAATTCAAGTTAAAGGTACCATGATTTCTTTTACATACGTTGGATACCAGTAAAGATAATATGGCCAGTCTCCCAAAAATGTATGTTTAACATCTTGTTTCATTCACTTGAATCGGCTTTCATAGTTCTCAGACTTTACATACCAAAGCATAGTTGCTAATTTGGAACTGTCTAGACCTGTTCACAACATTTCAGACCTAAAATGTTTAGCCTAATTTGCATGATGATTGGAGCATATCATGAACTGACCCATCTCCTCAGTTGCTGAGATCAGGTTGCTGCTGTTGGGGCACAGTGAAGCAGCAGATATGCCTCCACTGTTGGTGCTTTTTCTGCTGATGGGTGGGTAACTCCTTTCAGCAGCTGCAAAACTCGTCTAATGGCAGTTGTCTTCAGTAGTTTAGCTAACAGCCCTCCTCTGGGGCTTTATTACTTGTTCTTTCTCTTTTTAAGCTGTGAGCTCACTTGGGTGCTTGAATGCTACTATAACCAAAATCCCTTTTTTTGAAGCTTTTTTGCTTTCCTGGCCTCATGTGTTTTATGAGGGTGTTTTAGTTGTGTTTCTGGAGTAGCTTGTTGGGAAGTAGTGTTATGATTTTAAGGAGTATATTATGAGAGAGCAGAAGGTAGCTTATCTTCGTTGATAAGGCTTAGGGGTTTTTGATGCCTGAAGTATGAGTAGGTCAGAGAAGGCTAATTATATGTTTGAGTTGTGCAAACAACGAGAGCTTTATTATACTGCCCAGCTGAACTTCTTCATGAGTAATAGCTGTGTATTCCTAAGGCTATGGGTGAATACTGTTGTCTAGTGGTATGGGGTATGTTGTTTGTTATGTTTTGGTCAGGAAGCACGGTATTAGATACGAGCAACGCAATCCATTAGCCTGCCAGTGTGAAACAGTGCAGAGAGCTTTGGTATTCGCATCTTGCAGATTTGACTACAAAATCCTGATGCAGTAAATCTAAGCTTTGCTCTATACATGTTGATTGATTTGTTTAATGAAAAAGCTGTGCCTTATTCTTGCGTTTTGTAGACTAATAAACCTGGGCTGTGGCAGATTGCCAGAGTAACAAACTAAGGGAATCCCTTCCCTGAAAATGCTCATCCAGTATGTCATGGATTTCAGTGCTGGTAAAAGATGCCAAATAGCCTTTTTGCTGGTCACTGTACTGAGAGCCTCTCTAAGTTGAGAGGCATAAAGTACCATAAGTAAATAGTGCATTATTTCATTTTGGTTGCAGAAAGGCCTTGGGGAAATAACATACAGTGAGTTTACAGGATAAATAAAGCAAGAAAGTTGTAATTTACGAAGGGAAACAAGAACTGAATTTTCATCCTGTTACTTAGGCTTATAACGTGAAAAATAATTGCCCTGCAGAGTAGATTAGTAAGACTTTCATTGCAGATAATTCTTGAGTTGTTGAACAGGCTGATCAAATGCACTTAATAGTTAAATGGCTTAAATTTATTTTTAAAACAATAGAGTAAAACTTATTTCTTGCAGTCTTACTTAAAAATCTCTATTGGCTTTGTCAACAAATTCCTGTAATCTTACACAGTGGTAAATGCAGCGCATTCATTCTATAATGGTACAACGACTCTGCCAATCTCTGATGAAGACAGAACTCCACGTAAAAGGATTAGCAAGACCTTAAATATGACTACAAGTCCTGAAGAAAAAAGAAAAATTATTGGTGACACCTTTGTGAAGGTAATGCTTATAATTCTTTGCTTTTTAAAGTGATACCATTTCTAGATACATTTCTTAGCTCAGACTGTTTCATTTTTAAAGCACTGTGCGCTCAGTGACATCAGTGGTTCATACACGTTGTGGATGACGTAACAAGCCGTTAATACGTTATCTGAAGAAAGCTTAAAACTTCTGAAAGTCAGTCAACGGTCATAATGTTACAAGCATTTTACTAGATCCACTGTCATGTTTAGATATAACAGTGATTGGTGCTTCACTTCTGTTGCTTAACCTTTCAAGAACCTGTCTTTTACCAAATTGATAGGGGATGTGAATTTTGGCGTTTTATTGTTGCTTTACTGAAGATGCACTGTTTTTCTTCTGTCAGCTATCAATATTGGTGAAGCAGGAAGTCTGTACCTTTCTAGGACCAGTGATATTTCTATATTCTGAAGATACAGTTTTCATTTGCTGTTCAGCAAAATATGGGATTTGGGGCATCTTTCAGCAATAGGCTACTCTTGTGATGAGTCTTCCTGTTTACTACTCATGCTTTTAATGCAGAGATTTCCACAGTTCGGTTGCATTCTTGGTGCAATTTGTAACCTTCCCTCAGACTTCATAACTAAAAAGTAAATCAGAACACTTTTCTGTTTTTTCTCTCCACCTTATAGATTGCCAATGAAGTTATTGGAGAAATGAATCTGAAACCTGAAGAGGTTTTTCTTGCTCAGGGCACCCTCAGACCTGATCTCATTGAAAGCGCTTCCCTTGTTGCAAGTGGCAAAGCTGAAGTCATAAAAACTCATCATAATGATACAGAACTGATCAGAAAGCTACGAGAAGAGGTAACTGAAAATGAGGATATTGGGTGTATCCTTCTAGTTCTCACAAATGTGAAGCTGATTGTGAAAACTGAATAACTTCTGTTTCACTGGTAACTGTCCCATCTTGATGGAATGCTATTCTGATGAGGCCCTTTAGATTCTGTTGTAATGTATATTTTAATTTATTACAGTTCTTTCTAGTTGCTAGGTTCTCAGTGTTGTCAAAATTATTTGAGTATTGGCCAACATTGGTTTTTAGGAAAAAATGTCAACAGATTGAGCCTAGATTCATTTAGGGTGAACACTAGTCTAAACTGAAAACTATTTCTGTACTCTGTCTCTTAAAAACACACACACACACACACGTTTAAGACTTTTCAAACCACTTTGGTCTGATTCAGTTTGAATTCATTCTGTAATAGGTCACTTTTATTTGTTCTGTTATATTTTGTTCTGAAGACTAGTTAAGGGGTAACCTCTTCTGATGATACTGATAGTCCAGATCTGGCACATTACTGATTCAGCAAGAGCAGTGACAGTGCTTTAGTGAAATGATAATCAGCTCCTGTTGAGAAAGATGACGAAGTTATCCTTCTCTTGACCTTCTTTGTAGAGTTCAACATTTATGATCATAATAGTCTACTCTCTCTTGAGATGGAATGAGAATAACACACTTAAATGGGTTGAAATGTAAGGACAGTTCCTTCAGGTACCTACAGAGATCTCTTCTCTGGTCTTATGCAGCCTCTGCATGAAGCTACTAGGTAACCATGCAGATAACTGATCAGATTGCAAAAGCCAGCACACGCTGGTGGCACACAATCTGCTTACCAGTTGTCGTTTTAAGAACTCCTATATCTTTCTGAAATGGCCCAATATGGACATCTGTGGATGAAGACCAGCAGGTTGAAGATGATACAAACATGGCAAGTTGAACTGGTGGCAGAAGAAAGCATTCTGAATGTCATTTTAGTGCTGAGTTGTTAAGTATTAGCATGTGATGCAAGTGTAGGAGATTAGCCAATTTTGCCTCTTCTAACAGTAAAATGGTAAGTTCTTTAGCTGTATTTTGAAATACTCTAAGAAAGAACCAACACATGAGATGTTACATGGTGCCCTGCTGGAAGGTGCTCGGTTATTAGTGAGTGCTACATAAGCAACAAACCACAGGACAGAAAGTAACTGTTAAAGACCCAAACTTTTAATATTCATTACTGTGCAAGAGGTTTTCAAGGTTTTTAGATCGGTTTGATGTCTAGTGAAAAGAAGAAAGGACTGAATTTCTGAAGATATTCACAACCAGCCTCACTTACAGCTATGCTCACACCGATTGAGCCATTTGTACTTCTGGCACAAACGTCGACTTCCTTGTCTTCTCCACCATCCTCTAACTGTCTTATAAGCTTACATTCACATGTCCTTTTCTTTCTAGTGTTTATGCAAGTATTGGAAGCTGATGCTATAAAAAGCAGGCCAATTTGACTGCTATAACCTAAATGGTTGAGGCTGTACTAGAATATTATTTGAACAGATAGGCTAGAGAGTAAATTGTTTTTTCGTTTTGCCTTTTTTGTTTGTTTGTTTGTTTGTTTAGGGTAAAGTAATAGAACCGTTGAAAGACTTCCACAAAGATGAAGTGCGAGTGCTAGGCAGAGAACTTGGTCTTCCTGAAGAGCTGGTTTCTAGACATCCCTTCCCAGGTATGAGAGGCAGTCTATGCTATTTAGTGAAAGACTATAGATTACATTAATATTGTTTAGAGATACTTAACCTTCAGAATATATTTATTTTGGATCATTAAAAACTTGTCTGTAAAACATAGAACAAAATGAGTGGATTTACCAAGGTTTTTACTTAAGCAAAATCTTTTTTTCAGGAAAAAGACTTATTTGAGGGCAGCTATATCACTTAAAGTGATTAAAAGAAAAGTTTTATAGTTGAATTTTCCTTTACTTGTATTTCTTTCTTTAGTTGTAAACAAGATTTAGCAGTGAAGTGCAGCTGAATATTGTCTGAGCTGTTAAATGTATCTTTCTTCAAATGCTAGCCTGTCGTGCGAAGGGGGCAGTTGCTGTTTTCAAAATGATTGCACGGAAAATAACAGCAAGAATTCTTGACCAGAAAACAGCAAAGTGTATAATATAACAAAGTCCAAATCCTTTTAGGAGGGGTATGTTTTTCTGTAAATGTTTTAAAAATTTTCCTGCAGGGTGTGTAGTAGTCACTGGCAGAGAGCATAGGCTGGTCTGCTAATGCGCTAGCATCACAAAACGAAACAAACTGGTATCTTGAGACGTTTCCAGCAAAATGCATGTACTTTTGTCTTAAGTAGTTAAGGTCAAACAGCCTTCAGGGGCCTTTACAAACAGGGGAGGTTCAATGACATAACTCTTTCATCCAAGTTGCCCAGTAAAGGCAAACAGGATGGCAGAATTTCATCATCGCTAACTGCTGCTTTAAACAACCAGCCAATTTAAGATGTAATTAATGTTTAAACTCTGAAGCAGTATTTCTAATCAATAAATTATTTGCTTGTATACTTCTATCTTGTAAAGTGCTAAGACAGTTTAGCTATAGGTACAATGGCAAAGCAAACCATACTTAGTGATGAACCTGCTGTTCCAGGTGCTGCTATGTTTTTTTAGATGAATGTCTGCTTTCATGTTATTTAATATAATGTTTTCTTAACTTGGCATTGCAGGTCCTGGTCTAGCGATCAGAGTGATATGTGCTGAAGAGCCTTATGTGTGCAAAGACTTTCCTGAAACAAACAATATTTTGAAAATAGTTGCAGACTTTTCTGCAAGTGTTAAAAAGGTAATAACATTACTAGATTCTAATAAGCATGAAAGTAGAATGAACATTCTGTAGCAGACTGCAATGAGGTTTAAACTGCTAAAAGTTTAAAACTACTCATGTGTGTTCTTTAAGGAGTAATACGTTCCAGTACATTTCACTTGAAGCCATTCTGTGTAATGCAGTAGAATTTTTGGAGCCATATTCAGTTGCAAATGTTGGCTGACTTTTAGGAAATGGAAGTTTATAGACTTTTCAAATAGTGTGTGTGTGTGTGTGTGTTTTTTTTTTTTTTTTTTTTACAATTTCCTGAGATGAGATTTTCTGGAGATACTTAAATCACATAGTATCAGCAAAAGATTGTTGCTTCCTGAAACAACTGTAACTTCCTAGGATTGCATGCACTAACAGTTGCTAAGTGCCTAGATGAAAGTGCAAGAGTGAGAATTCAGTGCTTGCCAGATGTCCTAAATAAAAATCGGAAGCGCTTGATCACCAGCATTTAAACTTTCAGTCTCTTAACTGTTACGACCATCGTGATTACCTTAAGCTCCCTTAGGCTGAGCTGAAGGAGGCTGAGAAGTCCTTAGCAGACACCTGCTGAGTCGTAAGTTCAAAACAGCTTCCAAAACTTTTTGAAGAAACACTGAAGTGTACAGTGCTCCTGATCAGCAGCAGGCTACGAAGGGGAGATACTTCCTTTAAAGCATGTTAAATTGCTCTGTATCGTAGCAGGATATTGCTTTCTTCTGTGTCTGAGACAAACAATGTTGAAATATGGCTGTGTGAAAGAGAGAACGAGCATAGAAGAAGAGCTTCACCTCTTAGCTTGGAGAGCTTCAGGTTAAAATGCATGCAGCCTAACCAGATAAAAGTGCTTTTGCTCAAATTTGGTTGTTCAGTGAGAAGTGTTTTGTGAATAGTTTAAAGGTGTAAATGTGGACTAAATTTAAGCAGCTTAAGCTTTTCTTTTTTTTGCATTGTATAAGTTTTGAGTGGTTGGGGGGCTTTTAATTAAAAGTTATTTTTCTGCATCATTACACAGCCACATACTTTGTTGCAAAGGGTCAAAGCATGTACAACTGAAGAAGACCAGGAGAAGCTGATGCAGATTACAAGCCTACATTCACTGAATGCCTTCTTGTTACCAATCAAAACTGTGGGAGTGCAGGTAAGTGGATTCATTCTAGGGATGTTAAATCTCTGCCTAGCAGTTTGGCAGGCTGTAATTAAACATAGAACCAGTACTGTAAGAGTAAAAATAAAGGGCTTGACTCGAGAAAACGAACTTCAAAAGACTGTGCTAACCATGTTATTTTCATTTGTCACTTCTGGTAGTGCAAGGGTCTCAAGACACCTGAAAGCACACTTGAGTAGATGCCAGATATCGTATTTGAGGACATCAGATCACCTGAAATAATAGAGGCTGAATAATGCTGGTCACTTTTTTCATAGGCAGTTTCTTTGACGTTCATGATCTTGTAGACCTTTGCTGTAATCCTCTTGCCCCTTTCAAGGATGAAGAGTCCCAGTCTAGGTCAGTCAGAAAAGCTGCTTTATACCTTTGAATCATCCCTGTTGCCCTTTCCTGTACTTTGTACTGTATCCTTATTTTTGAGAGGAAAGGAACCAGAGAAGTGCAAATTTTTCAGGATATGGAAATATTTGGATCGTCACAGTGGCGTATTGTTTTCTTTCCTTTCAGTCCTTTTCTGATGCTGTGGGAATTTTTGTGGGTTGTCCTTTGAATTTCATGTTTTTCATTTCTATATCTTTTTTTTGTCTGTCAGTAAACACTGATCTGGCGTTTTCATGGGTTGACATGCAATAACTTAACAATTTCCTGAGTAGCCAGGAAGACACTTTGTCACTTGTCCTCTTCAGATTATCTGTTGATAGTTTAAGGGCACCATCGAGCTCTGTCTTCTGGGAATCTTACGCATGTCCATTCTGAAAGCTTTCCTGTTCTTTTCTACGCTCTTGTTAGCTCAGGGGAGGTCTATCTTCTGTTTTTTCTCTCCAGTTGATATCTCTAAGCATACGGACTTCAGCAGATCAGTGTCTATTAAATGCTGACCCAAAGTATGGCTCTATAACTTAAGAGCTTACAAGATGAACAAGAAAGTACTGTGAATTATTTTGGCAGCAAATTTCAAGTTAAATTTCTTTTTATTCTATTTTTTTCTAGGGGGACTGTCGTTCGTATAGCTATGTTTGCGGGATCTCCAGTAAAGATGCTCCACACTGGGAGTCTCTTATGTTTCTTGCCAGACTCATACCACGCATGTGCCACAATATAAACAGGTAAGTGTTCTCTGTTCAGCATTGAATATCTTTATTTCTAATGATCTACTTAACGTATGGGATGTAATGCCTATGCGTTCTAAGCCTCTTGTAGTTAATCTGCGGTATAACTTTTTTATATGTTGGACGGATGTATTATATAGAAGTTCTACACACACAACAAATCAATGTTTAGATTTGTTTCTGGAGTTGCTAACTTGAAAAATAATTTGATAGCCTATCTCCCCATTATGAGCCCTCGATTAGACAAAATCCAGTGCGACTTAAGCAGTGTTATTTGAAAGAGTCTAAGCCTATTAATGAGTTGTGATGTCATGCAGCGTTTTCCTTGTTTTGTGTCAAAAAAGCAGATTACATGGAACTGTTAGCTCTCATGGCACAAAGAAAAGTTCCAGCACTAGGTGGTATAACCTTAATTGAGCTCTCTTGTGAATAAAGTGCCTCCTCTGGCTATTTGGTTGCATGATTTTTCCAGCAGCTGAAGCTTCTTCTGAGATGGAAACAAGGTTTTATACTGCTGGAAGTTATTTTGGAGGTTGAGAGAGATGTTGGAAGCTGTGGGAATTTGGATACTCTTCTGGAGAACGGATATCCTCCTTGCCTGGCTGTAGACTTTCTCTGACAAAACTGTTTATAATTCCTTATAGCGAAAGTTAATTTTATTGCATAAGTGATGCCTACTGAAAGAGGTAGCATTCTTAATGTGAACTCTTGTATTGCACGATACTCCTTTAGACTTTACAAAATGGAGTGAAAGCCCTGAAATCAGGAGTGCGTGCGCAATTTGAAAGTATGTGCTTGATTTACAGCGTTACTATGTTCTTTATCCTGTTTGTAGATTTAATGCTACTCCCGTGATTATGCCACCTCTCTAGTTCTGCAGTACTGGGATATGTTTCTCAGAATTGGTGTTTATAGGGACACTGAAAGCAGCTTAGGCAGCTGGCAGTTTGAGGAGGGCACTGAAATAGTTGGTCTTCTGCCCAACTATGCTTGCAGACTTTATATTGCAAACAAAAATATGGAATGTAAAGCTTGCATATTTTTCTGCTTTGGATTTTAGACAAATATTCTTGGTTTGTAACTGCAGACTTTAGGCAACTTGTATGAATTCGTCATAGTAAACAAAAGCCTTTTTGTGAGGATAGTCAGACAATATTGTACTTTATTTTTTGTTCCACAACATATAAAACACAGTGAACGAGATTAAAAAGGTAAAGCTGATGTGACTAATTTGAATTTGGAAGTTTATTATGGCTGTTATAAATCTAAATGAGTGTTAATGCCCTGTGATGAAAATACAGCTAGTTCTAAACAACAAGGTGTACTTTAACAATGCTTTTGATGGTTTCCTCACAGGAGAGAAGATAGATATTGTAAGTATTTATTAAGTAGCTTTCTTAGAATAATCTTGATTTTTAACTGGCATCAAAGTAAAACTTAAAAAAAAAAATCCCTCTGGGATACCACTGAGTTGACAATTTTGGTTTTTTTTTGAAGGATTATTCTTTTGAATAAGTAATATTGAGGCTATTGCTAGTCTCTAGGAAACCAAAATAAATTAATACATTTGACTTCCAAAGCTAATAAAGTATGTCATGTTTATAAAATATATCCTTCAAATTATATGAAGTTCTTATTCAATAAGGAACAAAATCAGATATTATGCTTTTTTATTTTCTGGTTGCACTGTCTTCATTGCCTAAAAAATGCATCTTTAGTGTTGCAATCTGCTTTATTCCATGTACACAAAATGTATTTTCCTACTCTCTGGTTTGTTTTCCAGAGTTGTGTATGTGTTCGGTCCACCAGTCAAAGAACCTCCTACAGATGTCACACCCACTTTCCTGACAACAGGAGTCCTCAGCACTTTACGTCAGGCTGATTTCGAGGCTCACAATATTCTCAGGGAATCTGGTAGGTATTTAGCATATAGATTAGGTTTTTGTTCCAAAATTCCTGGAAACCTAACTGGATGTAGTTATAGAAGTCAAGTCAGAATCTATAACGTGGCTCTTGAATATCTCCAAAAAGTTATGACTTTAATGAGATGACAGGCAAGAGCCTTGGCTTAAAGTTCCAGAGTCTGATGACTGAAAGACAGGAGTTGCTAAACCTTCTGCTAGCAGAGTTGATTTTAGAGTTTTAACTTTGTAGTTCTTCACAAAGCACCTGAAAATAACATCTTTCTTGCAACAGAGTAATGCCTTCTCATAATTAGCTAAAAGTTTTTCCTACAGTACTCGTCACTTCTAGAAATACCTTCTTCTTCTGGTAGGGATTAAAGTTAACTTCTGACACTTGGTACAGCTTGGAGGTAAGATGCAGCACTGCAGTGTAAGATTATGCCAAAAGTACTGTTCGCCAGCTGAAAGTCAGCAAAATTACTGCTTTCCCATGATGTTCCGAGTCATCAGTATTTGCTTGAAGTAAATAAACTGTGTGAAGAAACTTGATATATTTTCAGAGGTGTGTTTTGTGTGTTTGTGTGTGTGTGGTTTTGGAAAGGAGCCCCTATACGAAGTTTCTCATGGTGATGATGATGCTCACTCTCTGTGACCAAAGTGGTTTCATATTTTTGAATTTAAAGTAAAAGCTGTATTTGTAAACTGATCCCCTTCAAACTAACATACAGTAATACTTTAAACCCTTGACATCCAGGGAATACTCAATTCCCTGTGATAGGCTACACAGAATGAGTCTGGGAATATAGTAATTATGAGGAGCAGGGTTGTGTTTTTTTTTTTTTTTTTTTTTTAAACTTAATCACATCTGAAGGTGGGATGTGCATGGGAAACAGTTCATCAGATTTGCTTATATTTTGTGTAGATAAAGTTATAAAGTACATTTCTCTCTGAAAATAGATATTCTGTTTGCAAGGCTGTGTTATCAATAATTTGTAGGAAAATAGCCTCAAAATGCTTAGGATTACACTGTCAGTGTTTGTAAAATTGTAGGCTTCAGTCTCACTGACTTTTGGTGACACTTGCCTTTGAGCGAATGAATCGCTCTCAAAAATAAGCCTTGACTCATTTAGTGAAATGACTCCCTGTACTCCTGACTGTTTACCTTGCACCAAAAGCTCGAGCTAGTGCAAGCAGAGGGATGAGACTGTGTCAGGGCTAGAGTGGTTCTGCAGTTTGCCATACCTGAGTCTCAAACTTCTAAATAATTCAAACAGTGAAATTTGAGGTTCTGTGTGTTGGTTTTCAGAAGGACATATTTAAAAAAAAATTTTTTTTTTTTTGAGATAATGGTTTGGAATTGCCTTAACAACCCCCAGCAATTCAGATACTTCAGAGCTTTCTTTTAAATATGTCAAAGGGACTGAGACGCTTTCTCTGGAAGTAATAGTGACAATAATTAACAGTTAAATTGCCCTACCAAGAGATTCACTGTCATCTTACTTCTAGTCTTCATGAGTGAAACTATCTCAGAGATGTGTTTTTATGTCACTGACTATTAATTGGGCTTGATATGGGAATAGATGAAATCCCATGCTCGTATTATGTGGGAAGGAAAGTAGATCTGAAATTGCCATCATTGAATTACAGGAATTGAGAGATGATCTGGTTTTGTTCTGCATGTCCATGAATGATTAAGATTGTTGCAAGGGACAATTTGAGTAGTTTGACTGTAGAAACCAATAATCTGTATAACCAGTGTGTTCTTCTGAAATGTGGTAGTGAAAAAGTTCCCGAACTATGCTTCAGCTGCAGGTTATCTGTGTAAATATAGCCCTTAGTGTATCATTTCAAGTATGGGTGAGAAACTCCACACAACTTCGCCATGTTTGTGTTTGAAAACAAAAGTTAAGTACTTGTGCTGCTATTTTTCTGAAGGTTATGCCGGAAAAATTAGCCAGATGCCAATAATTTTGACACCGTTGCATTTTGATCGAGACCCCCTACAGAAGCAACCTTCTTGTCAAAGATCCGTGGTTATTCGAACTTTTATTACTAGCGATTTCATGACTGGTATTGCAGCAACTCCTGGTAATGAGGTTCCAGAAGAGGTAATATGAATTTTCAGATTTGTAATTTTCAGATTTGTTCTTTCTAACATGATCTGTCGCTGTGGAAGACTTGTTATGGCTTTATTCCCCCTTTCTTAATTGCTTGTGTCTTGATATCTTACTGCATTTTTTTTGTCTCTTTTTCACTGTATTGGTTAGGAAGAATGTATTGGTTTAGGGGGAAAATGTGTAATAAAATGAGAAGCTGGCAGTGTTTTCTGATGGCTATGACAATCTTGAGGGAGGAGAAGGCTTTCTATCGGAGTTCTAAAAGGATTTGGGAGCTCAAGTTTAGGCACTTTTTCTGGAAACTTAATCAATGTCCACAATTTTGAGTATTTTGGATCTATTGAAATGTAGTATGTGAGAACAACAGAATTGACTTTTTTTTCTGCATACTTTAAAATCATATCAGCAATGTTTTGTAGCTGTATGTAGCTATTAAGCCTTCCACTTTAATGCAGCCTGTCAATTTAAAGAAGAGATGGTTGAAGGTTATGCTGCTAAGTAAACTATTCCATTATATAAAATTAAGATTCATTTGCTCTTTAATTTTGCACAAACACATTCAAGAGGTAAAACAGTAATTTTAAGACTAATAATAATAATGTGGTAATAAAATAGTAGAGACTGTGGAAAATGTGTATTTATGGGGCAAAATAGTCATACTTCATTTTAAAAAAAAAGTTTTTTTTTTTCCATGGAGAGCAACGCATTGCATTGTCTAACTTATGCTCACCCTGTAAAGCAGTGTGTCGTGTGGAACCTGCAGTTCCACAACGGCAAGTTGTGAAGTTTTTAAGGAAGCTGAACTTACCATTGTTAAGGATCAACAGCGTGTGGCGTAATTCCCAATCTCGTCCAGAAGTACTTCTGCTAAAACTAGTTGATGTGAACTCTGGAGAACTGTCAATGGAAACTCTTTGCCTTGGACACTTTTCTTTCTGCGAATGATTTTTCTTAATCTTTAGGGCTCCCTTTTTCAGTTTAAAAGTTCAGCATTTCACTTTGGCTGTTGTGTTGTGTTTGATTGTGGGTTAACTGGAGATGATGGCTGTGAAAATGGTTGATAAAAAAGCAGGCCAGCCTATTATTCCTGCTAAACTTTTTTATAAAACAGTTTTGAAGCTGAAAAGCTGCTACCTTAAGAGAAATGTATTGCAGCTGACACCTTGGTTTATTATCAGTGCCAAAAATCGACAAATCCCAAATATAACTTGAGAGATCACGAAGCTAGATGTTTTAAATTATCTTTCTTTATTGATTGGTGGCTACGTGCTAGTAACTATAGGCTTCTTCTCTGCCACACAAATACAAAATTAGCATGAATGGTTTTGTTTGTTTATTCTTTTCTAGGATAGTTTCATCAGGTCTGTTTTCATGTGCTTTGTTCTGATTTTTCGTGATAGGTTGTGTTAAAAATGGTGGCGGAGATTAAGAAGATTCCTGGCATTTCGCGGGTGATGTATGACTTGACATCAAAACCACCAGGAACTACAGAGTGGGAGTAATTAACTTTTTTTCTATTGAAGTACTGTGTGCAGTTTAAACCATATCAGAAACCATTCCCAGTGTTGACATGCAGTACTGTGAAAAGAGTGACTGGAGCTGCTACATTACATCTGATTCCTCTCCTGGAGCATAAATCTGCAGTTAAGAGCTGTGCTGGGGATACCTAAGTGGGGCTGAGGATTTGTACGGGTAAATAATCATGGCAGCGTTGCCTGTGCGCAGACAGATTCCTATTGCTTTTGCCTTTGTCTTACTGATTCTTCTTGTTTTCATGTGTTTTACTGTTAACTGTCACTTCGATGTCTCTTTGTTTTTGTACACCATGTAAAAAGAGACAGTTTATTTACTTCTACGAAAATCATTGTTACAGCCTAAAAATGTAAAATGAATACTTTATGTGACCAACTGCTTTTGGACAGATTTATTATAAATAAATATTTTGCCAAATGGAGTGGTGGGTACTGTTGAGTTGTGGAATTAATGTGTATCTGTTGTGTACTGTTAAGCTTGTTCTGTTATTGTTTGACGTGTTAGGCCGTGGCAATAACACTGAGTCCCGAAAGAGCAGTGCTAGAGTATTACGAAATGACCTTCTGTCTTCTTTCTGTACTCGCTCCCTCTTGCATCGCTCGGTAAGTGTGTGTGTTGATAACAAACGTGTAGGCACTTACTGATCTTCACTATACGCTTACTGCACGTATGCATGGGTCAAACGGCAGCCGATGAACTGTCCGCGCGTGCTTTTGGGGGTTCCGATAGAAGAGTTAAAATGGGAGTGAAGTTGGAAAAGCTGTTACACCAGAGCTACTGGATCTGTGAATTCTCTTTCTGTCTTTCAGTGCTTATGCAATAGTCCCTTCACAGCCTATTTGTTTTTGTTTTACTTGATAACAGTTTATTTTCTACACATTGCTTTTGCAGGAAAAACTTGTTAGTGTATTGTACTTAGCTTTTAAGCATTATAGTCATTTAGTGTGGAATCATGGTATCGGAGCGGACTTAACCCATCAATGTAGATTCCCTCAGTCATTTGTATTCTGCTGTTTAGTTAAGTAAGCAATAATTTAAGAGGAGAGATGTGGTTACTTTGGACAGCTGTTCTTTTTCTGTTATCTTCAGGCCAGCTATTTCCATCCGCCTGAGAATTTTGAGACTGTCCTACAGCTGCGGTCTTCAGAAGTATAATTTCTGTAACACTTGGATTTGGACCTGAGCAGCTTGCTGGGTGCCTACAGGGTACCTGGGCTGTTACAACCTCCATTACATACCCAGGTTTATTGTTTTAGCCACTTTCTAAATGGTTGCATTTCATTCAGCTGTCAAATTGCTGGTTTCCGTGGGGAGAGATGCTTGTTTTAAACTGTTGTTTGAACTTGTTTTAAGCTGTTTGGTAACATGGTGTATTTAGTGGCTGTATCTACTTATATTTCCACTTATACAGATTTGTGAACTGGAATAATGACCGAAAATGTCTATTCTATATTCTTTTGATTGCACACTTTTTTATTGTTTTTACACTTACTAATTACACTTATATTATGGAAATTTAGTTTCATTTCTGTTTATCGCATATGGCTAACTTGTTTATACTTTTGCTTATGTCACTAGAAAGTTGTCTTTCATTTGGGGAAGGAGATGGCATATTATAGCCCTCTGCTGCTTTTTGAAAATACTCTGTACAACTTAGGTGTACAGGAGGGCAGCAGACTAGTGGCTGGAGAACATAATCTGGAATTAGGAAAAAATGCCTTCTGGTCTTAGCTCTGCTCCTAGCAGATATGGTATCTTGGGCAAATTAACTTTAATCTATGTGTATCTCACTTGTCTCATTTATGAAATAAGGGTAGTGTTTCTAACACATCCATTTATAACCTCTTTGAGCTCTTTGGATGAGCTCTTTGCTACGTAAGTGAAGTATTATTTATATAAATGTTATTTTATTACTGGACTGTGATCTATTAAAAATTGTCACGTCAAAAGCCCTGCAAACCAATGTTTGTTGGCACAGAATCTATTACAGTATGGGTTCTGTTGAAAACAAACTTAATTCTTAATGTAATTTAGTTCAAAAGAAAGCTCCCTAATTAAATTATGCCTTTATAATACATTTTAATTTTTTTGTCAGAAAAAGCTGAGGGTAGTTGGTTTCATGACTTGTCCATAAATGGTGCGACCACAAGAAATAAATCTCTTTGGTGTGATGCAGAAATACTTCAGCCTTTTAATGTTACAGCAGTTGTTGCTTATTGTAAGTAGGCTTGCTATTGCTGCTGCCGCCGTCATCAGTTTGTCTGTTAACTTGAGAGCAAGCAGGCAAAATGGAAGAATGAATTACTAAAGAAATAATCTGAATAATTCAGAGCGCCTCTTAAACTTAATTTTTGACTCTAATGAGACACTCTTAGCTGGCCTCTTTGTAAATGAGTTTGCAGTATGTAGTCTCCTAGTTAGGACATAACTTGCAAGAGAACTTGCATAATGTCATGTCCTTAGCGTTCAGGGGCTTATAACAACTGTCTTGATTGCAACCTTAGGATATACTTGGACAGGGTTTTTTTATTTTCACTGCATGTTGCATACTTGGAAGTCCTGCTGTCAGACTTGCATCTTAACTATAGGTATAATGTATACCTGTATACAGTGTGTATGCTGAAGTCTGACATATGCTTTTAACATCTTTAATCACGATGGTTGCTTTCAAGTTTTTAATGAGATGGAGCTTGATAACAATTCCTGTGCTCTTTAGGAACATACACTTTTTTTTTTTTTAAGCCAGAAGGTAAATATTGAAACATTTAGACACAAATGATTGCACTATGAACAAAATATGTCTTACTGAAATAAAATTTGTAGTCTTTAAATATCTTTCCCCTGATTTAACAGCTGTGCCATGCATTTTTGAAGTGTTGGGTTATTCTTGGGGAGGTTGATGTTATCAGCCCAGCAGTTCTTGAGTGTTTTTACGGAATCCGTGTATATAGAACAGCCAGAAGTGCAGAGAGAATTAAGACTCTGTTTGCATTTCTTCAAAAGCATATTTAGCACATAGTTTACAAACTGATAACTGTAGCTGCCCTGTACAATTGTTCACCCCAGGTCTTCGGTAAAACATGTCAGCAGTTAGAGGAATTTGTATTGGGGGTATTCCCCATCATTCTCAATTTTTAACATTTTTCTGCTTGTGAAATGATAAAGTACTGTGAGCCTTAATTTTTATCCACAAATAAAAATATTATGTTTGAACACTTGTGTGATTTTTACTTTCTAGCGTTTCCACGTGGAAATTGCTTTATAAAGGGGCAGTCCGTTCTGCGTTGAAGACCCGCTTTGTGACAGGGATATGTCTCTGTAATTTAAAAAAAAAAAAAGATGTTTTGCTTGATCACTAACACAAAGCTTATATGAAAATATTTGGTCATCGATCTTCCTCGGAATGTGTACAGAGAAATCAGTGAAGCCCCGGGGTGGTGGAGAGGTCTTTTCTAGGGCTCTGCGCTAGAAGTCGCTTCTGATCCGCCTGGATGCAGCGAGCGGTGTTGCCCGCAGCACTGGTGATGCTCCGCCGTCGTCTCCTCGTCCGAACTTCCTCCGCACGTAGCTATCGCTGGCAGTTGTTTTGTGGCGGGTTTCTTGTTCCCGGTGGTCTGCACTTGAATCCTTTCTGAAAGTCTGTTTATTTGACGATACTTAGCCTAAGCAGTGGGTCACAATTTCAAGACTCGTGAGGGATTTTAAGCTGAGGTACGCTTGCACTGTAGACGTAGAGAGGCGGGTTTAGAGCAAAGACTTGCGTAAGGTCTCGGAAGCCTGGGCAGCAGATCTCCCGTTACAGGACTTGGGTTTCTTCGTGGGTTGACGGTTCGATCCGGCTCCTCCGCGCTGGTGGCTTGGTGTGGGAAAGCTCCGTTCAGCCGGTGCTGCTGCCGTTGGTCGGTAGCCTGCAGCTGTGCACAGGCCTGTCTCTAGCTACTGCGTAAAGGTTGAATTTCAGCCTCGGCAAATACTTGCGCAGACCTTAGCGCTAGGCTGATGGCAAGGAAGGGGTTAGCTTCCAGGCTCTAAGGCCAATCCTGCACTAAAAGTTTGAATAGATGTTGCTAAATACTCTCTGCTGCATGTCCGCCTCCGGCGCTCGCCCGGGCCCTCGGTCTTGCTGGAGGCACCCGACGATTCATTGCCTCTCCATCAAACTGCCTCTGGGAGGGTTTTAGCTGGTGGTGTCCTTGGTCCGATCACATGGGCTCTCCAGGACATCTGGCTACGAGGGCGACTTCTGAAGGCGGGGAGGTTCGCGTGGGCGCTGACACGCGCCTGCGTGGTGCAGGCTTGCCAGACGGGGCCCTGCACCGCGTCTAAAAGGCGTCGGCGTGGGGACAGGCGTACCCCAAAGAGCTCACGAGGCGTCGCCAGCGCGGAGCTGCCGCAGCCGAACCGAGAGGAGAGCCCCACGTCGCTCCCCAAGACGCGCGCTAGACGGTGGATGGTGGCCGGTGCCCTGCCCCTCCGGGGGGACCTCTGCCGCCGGCCTGCCCAGACCC